AAAAGGGCCCGTGCGTTGCAACGGAAGAAAAAAATTCATAATTTCAAATGGTCATGATCACATTTCGTTGCATCACCGAGATACAATATCTCTCTCAATTTCTCGAAATCATGAACATTTTGAAATTATGAACAATTTGTTAAACTCATGCACATATTTGAAATCGCAAACAACATACTATTACAAATTTCTGAACATTTTCTACAATCAAGAACATTTTTTCAATTTATGAATATTTTTTGCTATTTACAAACATTTTTTAAAAATTGTGAACATTTTTAAGCAATTTTCCTGAACTGACAAACATTCTATAATCGATGAAAATATTTAGAAATTGGGTGGAATAGTTATTGAATTTGACGAACTTTTTTCGATTTAGCGAACATTTTTGGAAATGCCCGTGCCTTGCAACGGAAAAAAACTATCAAGTTATACATGTGTGGTAGATATAAAAAAGTATGAATCAAATTCACAAAGTATATACAAATCATGTCATGATGCGATAAGACACTTTTAAAATGTAATTTCAAAAACGAACAATATGATGCTCATCAAGACTTGATTTTTTAAGGCGTCACAACAAAATATATTGTGGCTGAGCAAACTGCATTGACGGACCCTGCCTGAGCTATACTGATAAATAAAGTGTCTCGTCTGGACTTAGCGTAGCGGTGTTTACCATAACCACTATTGTGATATGAAAATAAGCATAACTGTGTATGGAAGCAAAATAGACATTTAGTCATTTTAATATAGCTTACAAAAACAAACCCTTAGAAAGTTATGTCAATTTTGTTGGGTTCAGCGTTGTACAAAACACGGAAACCCTTTTTTACCCAACGCGAAGGACTAAATAAAATCATAAAATGAGCTATATAGATCTCCTAATAAAACCTTTATGGAACCTACAATTAGTTTTGTTCATTATTTACGGATGTGTTTTAATTTTTGTGAACATTTTCTAAAAGCTGATGGACATGATTTTTAAATTCCTGAATATGCTTTGAATATTGGCTCATTTAAAAAAATCATGAACATTTTTTATTTCATGAAATCATTAGAAATCGTGATTTGTTTATAATTTGTGAGCAATTTTTTAAGTCATGAACATTTTTTGATTTTTAGAATATTTTTTAAATTCACAAACAGTTTACCATTTTCCTACTTTTTTTCAGAACTCGCAATTGTTTGATATTTTGGAAATCCGAAATTAATTTTGAGATAAAAAACCAAAACAGAAATAAAAAAGTAAAAAGAAATAAAAAATAGGGGGCGCCATCAATCCGAAATTTATTTTTAGGGAAAAAACAAAATAGAAATAAAAAAAAGATATAGAAAACAGGGGGCGCCACGACCCGCACATGGGCCGGCCCATTACTGCGCTTGGTAAAAAGAAAGAGAAAAAGCGTGAGTTTTTTTATTTCATGAAATCATTAGAAATCGTGATTTGTTTATAATTTGTGAGCAATTTTTTAAGTCATGAACATTTTTTGATTTTTAGAATATTTTTTAAATTCACAAACAGTTTACCATTTTTCTATTTTTTTTCAGAACTCGCAATTGTTTGATATTTTGGAAATCCGAAATTAATTTTGAGATAAAAAACCAAAACAGAAATAAAAAAGTAAAAAGAAATAAAAAATAGGGGGCGCCATCAATCCGAAATTTATTTTTAGGGAAAAAACAAAATAGAAATAAAAAAAAGATATAGAAAACAGGGGGCGCCACGACCCACACATGGGCCGGCCCATTACTGCGCTTGGTAAAAAGAAAGAGAAAAAGCGTGAGAACCAGGGATCGAACCCTGGTCTCCTGTGTGGAGCATCGTTGCCTCAGCCATCGCGCTGCTCATGCATTGGTGCTATTATGTCGTATCCACCTTTAATAACAGAACCCTGGAGCGATATTAGAAATTAAAAATGAATCGTTTTTGCCACTTACGGGTGGCATTGGTGGGTAATTATTGCCAACTTCGAGGGTTGTTTTTATGACGTACCACCAGAAGCGATGCGTGGTTTATTAGTATTAGTATTAGTATTAGTATTAGTATTAGTATTAGTATTAGTATTAGTATAGTATTAGTATTAGTATTAGTATTAGTATTAGTATTAGTATTAATATAGTATTAGTATTAGTATTAGTATAGTATTAGTATATATATATATATATGGGTCGTGTTATTCGTCACCCTGTGTGAGGAATAGTTATTCTTCACCCTCTCTATTTTATCATCAATGCACCGTAATTTTACGTTCCGTAAATTTTGTCTTATTTCCGACACAAAAAGAGACAGTAAGAAAATATATAATCATCGTAAAAAATATTTTATGTTATGTAAAATTGTAAACGTAAAAACATATTCTAAAATACACATAAACTACAAATTTTCTTGTCTTATAACCTATATTTTTATTTTTTTATATCAATTTTTACGTAGTGAATCAATAGAAATGTAACTATTTGAATTCCAAACGTAATTTAATTATGAAATGATCATAAGATTACCTCGGGTGAAGATTAACTTATTCTGCACCCTGGGTGATGAATAGTAACACTATATATATATATATATACATATATATATATATATATATATATATATATATTAGATACATTATTTTATAAATTTTGACCGAGAAAAATATCTTCATGTAGAATACCAACTACATTTTTTTAGTTGGGACTACATATATTAGATACATTATTAGACATATTTCCCATTGTATATATTTAATATTATTTATACAAGTTTTTATAAATAACATTCTTTATAAAATTGGTCAAAGTCTGACTTTTTTTTAACTGCAAAACGTTATGAAACGGAGGGAGTTTTTCTTTCACCCTAGGCGAAAACCGATACTTCCGCTGCAGACTCCCTTCCTTGAACAGTATGTAACCTATGCTCATACATAGATCTCCGATTAGGACGTGCACAAGTCCAAGCTTACCTAAGTTTCGTGACTGTATTTGTCGGCAGACTAATCTAACTCCAGGTCCATTTCCATGTTTCAGAACCCAGAAGATTAGGACGTGTTACCAGTTAAGAGATAAAGTTTCTGGTCTGTGCCTCCTGTCTGGGTGTAAACTAGCAAGATCCGGGAGATATATCCACATCAGAAGATCATATCTCATCGCTGTTCAGGCGACTGATCGAGTGCCATGTACTGATTACTACTAGTACGGCACTACCGACTAGGCTCACCCACCAGTCAGAAAGTCAGCACACGAGGAGGACTTCTGATGTGGTTGCTTTCACGAGTAGTCGAGTTTGGCTTTGGAGGCCTTCCTGGTAGTTGCTGAAGGGGGTTGTTTGATCCTCGAGCAACCTTGCTGAAGGGAGTTGGGCGGGAAAGTGAGGCCGTTTTTCCTCACGACCTGATCCGAGTTCCGTGTTGATCGACAAGGTGTGACATGTACGTGCGCGCGTACGTGGTTGTGTGACGGTGTGAGCATTGCGTGTGGTTGTATGTCTCTCTCTTATGTAGTTAGGAAAAATTGTGTCCCTCGCGGACTTGGCTTTTCTTGCCTTACTATTTTTTTTACCGAGCCTAAGAGCATCTACAGCCGGGTTTCTCATACCCGTCTCAAACGTTTGGACAGGGTGTCCGGTCAATGACCGGTCATAAAAATTCGACCCACCCGGACCTCTTAAACGGGTCTCAAACGCCCGAGCTGACCGACACCTCTCATATCCAGCCCAAATATAGGGCGGATATAAGGCGGTCCGGGCATGCCCGGGCGCGTCCGCCTGACAGGTCCGGCCCACCTCGGACCCCGCAAAAAAACTTCAATCCGGACCGAACGGCGAGCTCAACCTTAGCTCACTCTCTCCCTCTCTCGCTCCGTCCGTCCACTCCTCTTCCTCTCCGGTTCGATCCCATCCACCACCATGAGCAACTTCGGCAGCGACTCTGGCTCGGAGCTCGACTACATGGAGGAGATGGCCCTCCGCATTGCGCTGGAGCGGTCCAAGGTCGAGACCGGCGGCAGCTCCAGATCTGGAGCGTTGCCGCATCTCCCGCACCGGCCCCACGTCGTCTCCTTCCCCCGCCGTCCGCTCCTGCACGTGGCCAACGCTGGGTGCTTGTGCCCGCGCCTCCGGCTCGCACGCGCACTTCGGAGTCGGAGGCGCGTGCCGCGAGAGGTAGCATGCACGAGAGAGGGAAGCGGCGGAGCAATCCGCGCGCCGCCGCCGCGGGACGGAGCCGGACGCTGACGAGGACGCGTGTCTCCTCGCTTGGGTGTACCGCCGCTCCCTCACGACGGCGGAGACGGACTGTCGCCACCTCCGACGGAAGAACACCAAGGCGCTTTGGCTATCCATTGAGCAGTCGGAGCGCGAGGCGAAGAAGACAGCACTGGGGGAAGGCTCGGGTGGCAAGGCTGAAGGGGGGAGCAGGACAGGGCGGTCCGTCGGATGAAAGGGGTCATCGTCCTCTCCAACCCCGACTCCGACGGCGGCGATGGGTACACCTCGTCGTCCGACGAGCAAGACCCTCCACCAGCCGCGGATGCGTACAGCTGCGCCGACGACCGAAAGGGCAAAGGCCCGGCGAGGAAATGATGATTCCGGCCCCCCTTCTCCTCAATGTTTATATCGTTTTAGTTGTAGAAGTTTATGAACTTGTCCGTGGACGAACTATGATCTTTTGGATGTTGTGAAGTGTGTTTATCCGTTACAGCCGATCTTGTGTTCCTTTACAGCTTAATTTTGTTGTTCGTCGCCTGATCACGTAGAATAGATCAACGTGTGCATGGATAGTATGGATATAAGACGCCGGATATGAGATACGTGGATGCAGAATGACAAATATAAGGGGTGTCTGGCCAGTGCCCGCGGACGCGCCCGGCCGCGTCCGCGGGCGTTTGAGGGGCCGGATTTGCCAAGTCTAGCTATAGATCCTCTAAGACCATGTTTGGACTCACTAGTAGTTTGAAAATATCTCCATCCATTCTCTTGTTCTTTTTCATCAGGTGTATTGAATTTTTCGATGGTTGGACTTTTTTTTGTCTTTCAGCAAGTTTGTAGAAAAAAGGAAGTCAAAATCAACATGTCTCGACTAATAAAGTTCCCCTCTTTGCAATAGAAGAAATCAACACTATTAGATCCATCGTGGAATATTTTTTCGATTTTAATACTTTTGGTGCTGATTTTTTTTAAAAATTGGTCAAAAATAGAAATTTAGACTTTTGAAAAGAGATTATCATGCTTGAATCATTTTAATCCGTACCTAATTTGTTTATAAAAGGATAAATCTGCACTTAATTTTTCAAAAATAAATCCAAAATATACTCATACATACAATTTGGGTTGCGGACGTGCAATATGGACGAGTAAAACTTTGCTTCAAAATATGATATAACTTGATCCGCAAATACTAACAAATAAGTTTATTTTTTCTGAGGTCAACTTTTCCATAACTTACACATATATATAGTTCACGCCACAAAAATTTACTCCCTCCATTTCTAATTATTTTATTTCTAGAGATTTCAACAAGTGACTACATACGGAGCAAAATGAGTGAATCTACACTTTAAAATATGTCCATATACATCCGTATGTAGTAGTTCATTTGAAATCTCAAAAACACAAGTATTTAGGAACGGATAGAGTATATATGGATCTTTTAGATTTCTTTAGAAACGTTCAGGTAAGTATGGTTTTCTCTTTCACAAAAAATAGGCAGCATACCCCCCGGGCGCGCCTGAGGGCAGCGCAACACTGGGCCGACCCAGCTAGCTGGAGGCCACATAATCGTTTTTTCTCTGATTTGTTTTGTTTTCTGTTCTCATTTTTTTTACTTTTGTTATACATCCAAATATTCTAGATATATGTATTACAAAAAATACTCTACATACAATATTTAAAAAGTTGTTAATCTAGCATTTATAAAAATGTTAAATGTGTATAAAAAACCTGTTTCTCATGTATACGAAATATGTAATACAAAAAATACAATGTGTCGGAAAAAGTTTGATCATATATGTTAACATTTTGAATAGAGAATTTGAGAAAAATGTTAATCATATATTTCAAAAAAATTAAACATGTATAAAAATGTTTTTGATGTATACCAAAAATGTTTAATGTGTCTTAAAAAGTTTTAAAAAACATGAACTTTAGAAAATGCTGACTATGTATCAAAGAAATATCAAGCAAACATTTAAAAAATGTAACCATGTATAAAACAATGTTATTGATATAAACCAAAATGTACACTGTGTATGAAAAAGTGGTCATCAAACACAAAGATTTGAAAACATCTTAATCATGTATTGAGAAAATGTTAAAGATGTAAAAAAACTGTTCCTCCCATATATGAAAATTTTAGAACATGTCTTAAAAATTTGGGATATAAAAAATTTAAAAAATATTGATCATGTATAAAAAGATTAATCATACATTTAAAAAATCTTAAACATGTAATAATATTGTTTGCTCATATATACCGACAAAGAACAATGTGTATTAAGAAAGTAGTCATCAAACATATTTTTTTAAAATATTAATGATGCATTTGAAAAATATTAAACAAGTATACAAAAATCTTGATGTATACGTAAAATATACAAAAAATATATATGTGTGTGTTAAAGAAATAAGAAAAAAATAAAGAAACAGAAGAAAGAAACAAAAGAAACACCACAGAAATGAAGAAAAATAGAAAAATCAAAGAAAACCCTGAAAATCCATGAGAAAATTAAGACAAACCAAGAAATAGAAAGCAAACCTAAAGAAAAGAAAAGAAAAAAGGAAACAAAGAAAGAACAAAGACCGAGAAAGAAACAAAAAGTTGAAGAAAAGGGAAAAACCAGTAAAACCAAGATAGAAACCAAAAAATCTGATGGAAAAACAAAAAAGCAAAAGAAAATAATGAAGAAACAAAGACACTGATAAGATCCTAAAAAATTGAAAAAAATGATTGAAAGCAAATAAAAACGGAAAATGGAAAAAATAAAGAAAATAAAAACAAAAATTGAAATAAAACCGGATCAAACAAGTGCAGTGAGCGAGCGAGGAGCGAAAGATTAGTCGATCCCAAGTGAGTGATGGAGGAGAACCTTGAGACGAGAGAAGTTATAGCAAGACATAGTGACATCACTAATTAAGTGTATCCTTGCAAATGTCATTCCCACCTTCCCAGGATGCGACAAGCGGCGCATTTCATGTGCGCCACTTATTGCAATCTAGGAGTTTCTTTTTTCTCGTTGAGTCGTTTTTTCAAACCTTAAACAATGCAACCAAACCGTGAACCATTTTCACCATTAAATTTCTCATATATCCCATGTTAATAGGTCTGACAAGCTTATTTTCATGAAAAAATCAAAAAAAAAATCAAGCCGGAATCACGGTTTTCCCTCACCTTTTTCTCTTTTCGAAAGGCATAGTTGTGCCCCTCACGAAAGCAAGTCTTTGCCTTCAGAGTAGCGAAAATAAAAAAAATAACTCTTTTTTTTCATTTCCGAGAGGCACAACTATGTCTCTCGTGGAAGCAAACTTGTTCCTTCATGAGAAGCAAATCTGTATCTTACGTGAAAAAGAAAAAAACAATGCGTTTCCCCTTTTCGAGAGACATAGCTGTGTCTCTCGTGAAAGCAAATCTGTGCCTTTCACAGAAGAAAAAATCATGTTTTTTTTACTCTTTTTGAGAGTGCCTCTCACGGAAGCAAACCCGTGCCTTCATGAGAAGCAAATTTATACCTCTCACGGAAGCAATTTTTTTTCTCAAGAGGCACAACCGTGCCTCTCTCGAAAGCAAATCTGTGCATCCATGAGAAGCAAATCTGCA